ACAGTCTTTTTACTCTCAGAGCACAGCAGATATTCTCCTTCATTCTTTCCAAAGTGAAACAGATTTGTGATATTTGCTCCTGTAGAGACTCAAGTATAATTGCTACATTTCTGTTGGAGAACTAAACTACTCATAATCCTAAAGAGAATTTCATCAGAAGAGCTCAGAGGGGCCATTTAATCCCATAAATCATTGCAAATTATATAACTGAGTCTCAAATGACTGACAATATAGTACTGGCTTGACATAAATTAAGATTTTTTATGTTTCTGAAAGAAGACTCTTCTACTCAGCAGTGCTGCATTTATTAAAATAAAAATATATAAAAATACAGTAAAAATTGTGAAATATTTTTATAATCTAAAACAGCTGTTCTCTATGTGAGTATCTGTTAAACAGTAATATATTTCTGTGATGCGCAGCTGTATTTTCAGCATCATTACTCCAGTCTTCAGTGTCACATGATCTTCAGAAATCATTCTAATATGCTGATTTGCTGCTCAAGAAACATTTCTGATTATTATCAATGTTGAGAACAGTCGTGCTGCACAATATTTTTGTGGAAACCGTGATTCACCGTGATTTCAGGATCCACAGATGAACAGAAAGTTCAAAAGATCAGCATTTATTTGAAATAGAAATATTTTGTAACATTATAAATGTCTTTACTGTCACTTGATCAATTTAATGCAGTTTTGATGAATAAAAGCAATAGTTTCTTTAGAGAAAATATATATATAAAAAGTCTAATTAAAAAAGTTATAAAATAATAAAAAGTCTTATAATTGTTTACTTTAACTCAATAATTCAGTTACTTAATTTGCAAAGCATCATGGGATGAGTAGTTCATTGGCTCATTAATAATGTGAAGGACACAGTCATGCATGTTTATTTTCTTTTTATTGCATTAAATCATTAGTCACATTGTGATTCATCTGTAGCTGTTAGTTTAGCTCAGATCAGAACTGAATATGCTGAAGAAATTCTGTGAAAGAAATGAACAGCAGAAATGCGTCTAGAGCAAAGGCTGCTGGGAAAGTGTCTGTTCACTGTTATACACACCTGTTCAGCTGCTGAGAAGGTGTGAGAGGCTAAAGCACAGTGTGTGTGTGTGTGTGTGTGTGTGTGTGTGTGTGTGTGTGTTGTCTGAAGGGCTGCTGCTTCTTGACTTGAAAAGACGAGCAAATGTCAACTAAACACTCGTCACAAACTCGGGCCTGTGAGCGTCTCGTCCAGCTAAACAACAGCACAAACCGCCAGAAGCTCATTATATAATTCATCCGCTCACAACAATAGGAGGCTGTCTTTCACCTCAAATTCACCCTCTTAAAGGGACAGTTCACTCGAACGTGTGCTGTCACTGACTGAAATAATGACAGAATTTAGATTTTCTGCTGAATTATTCTGTTTAATCACACATTCAGCCAGTTAAATATGAAACAAGCCAACAGAAGTGATCATATATGATACATGATGATGCTGCATCGCTTGGTTTATGAATGAACAGATTGTATCATCTGTGGATAAAAGTTCATGAAGGATTTGTGTGTATGTGTGTGTACCTACTTAACCATATAGAAATGAGTTAAACCTGACAAAATCTCCTTTTTACCATTCGCAAAAATGGTACGAAAAATAAATAAATAAATTCATTCATTAATTTAAACATCTAAATATTTTAGGAAGTTTATTTCTGCCACAGGAAATAAAATAAAGAACGTCTCTGTTACGTACGTAACCGTGGTTCCCTGATGGAGGGAATGGAGACGTTATGTCCTGATGACATAGGGGGTTCACTTGGGAGCCCCAATCCTCTCTGACTTTAAGAGAAAACCCAAATTAAATTTGGCTAGTGGATTTTGCATACCTGAGCCACTCCCCGTGCATACGGGTATAAATAGGAGACAGGTGCATCCACTCATCAGATTTTTGCTTCGGAGCCGAATTAATGAACACAGTTCGAGATTCACCAGGCAAATTCTCTCTGCTGCTGGAAAAAGAGGCTGTTCTGGGTGGCGTTACTGCACAATCAGCGCTGTTAATTCAGCGATTCCCCTGGGTGCTTCATCTAAACGAGCAGTTTCTGATCACGGACGGCTCATGTCTTTTTAAAGATGCCGTTCCGTCCCTGTCCTCTTGGTTGCAGTCGTTTCCTATCCTCTGTCAACAGCCACGATCATTGTCTTCAGTGTCTGGGCATCCAGCTCGCTGAAGCTGCATTCGTGGATGGTTTATGCATTCACTGTGAGCGTGTAACCATGGCAGCGCTGCCTCTCTCTCCTCACGGGGATGGGCTCCCTCTGTCACTACCCACGCTGGCTTCTCTGCCACAAGCAGAGAACCATCGGCTAGTGATCTTGGCGATCTGAGGGCTACAGTGAGAGCCTCTCCACCGGGCCAGTCCCCGCGGACCTCTCACTTCTCCCGCAGCAGCTGCTCGGTGCGGCTCCCCGGTGATTCTGCTTTGCCGTCTCACGGCGTGGCCAGCGTTTCATTCAGCACGCCGATAGAGAATCAGATGTCAATAGCAGCATCGGGGGGTGGGTTATTTTGATTTGGCAGGGCTGCTCCCCTCGGGTGTTGTCGCCAACGCCGAATCGGACCCAGAGTTGACGGCCATGCTTTCCCAGGCCGCCGTGAGGCGTGCACACCTCCCAGTCCCGAGCCCTCGCAGCGGGATGATTGGTATGGGCATGGGCCGTGGCTCGCGACCACGCCCTGCCCTGGTTCCTTTCTTCCCGGAGGTGGATGGCCCCTTTTCGGCCAGAAGCCGCTTGTCTGCCTCCTCCAACCTCACTACCCTTGATGACGGGGCAGCTAGGGGGTACATTGACATTCCCCAGGTGGAGAATGCGGTTGCGGTGCACCTGTGCCTACAAAATGCCTCCACTTGGAGGAATCGTCCTCGTCTCCCATCCAAAGCCTGTAAGCTGACGGCGGCTCACCACCAAAGCTGCAGTCCTGCGGGCCAAGCCGCCTTTGCCCTGCATGCCATGGCTATCCTGCAAGTACACCAAGCCAAGGCACTAAAACAAATGCACAAGGGTACTGTAGTACCGACCCGAGGTTAATGCAGGAACTGTGCACGGTGACTGACTTCGCCCCCGGGCGACGAAAGTCACGACGTGGTCCCTCGGGGAGGCAATGTCCACGTTAGTGGTCCAAGAGCGCCATCTATGGCTCAGCCTTACTGAGATGAGTGACGTCGACAGTGCGCTTTCCTGACGCTCCCGTCTCCCAGGCTGGGCTATTCGGCGACACTGTCGAGGACTCCGCCAGCAGTTCGGCAGTACAAAGGCAGACTGAGGCTATCCAGCACATCCTGCCCCGGCGTAATCCTCCACCTGCCACCGCGGGCCACGCCTCAGCCTGCCCGTCGCCGAGGGCGCCCTCCTGTGGTTGCTCCACCCCGTGCTGAGACCATGTCGAGGCTGGCACGTCGAGCCTCGCGCAGGAGTGCGGCGCCCTCCCCATGTTCCAGCCGGCCCCTAAGTCCCCCAGGAAGACGATGAGGAGGCCCTGACACAGACAGCCCGGAGATGCGAGGAACTGCTTCTCTTCTGGAGATGGCGAGAACAGCGCCACTCCTTCCCCTGGAGGAGGGCCGGCTGGAGAATCTTTGCTTTGTTCTGTTCCGCTGTTGGCCCAAGGGCCAGCGGTAACCACATTCTTAAAGAAAGAGCAGTTTCCTTTTCCTCCGGGCCATCAGACTCGTGGGTGGAAAGTGAGCGACGCACGGCGCCTTTCTGGCAGACATCTGTAGAGCTGCGGGCTGAGCGACACCGAACACCTTCGCGAGAGCTTACAGTCTCTGCATTGAGCTAGTTTCTTCCCGTGTGTTGGGTAACAGGTAAGATGTGGGAAGAGCTGGCCGGTGTTAGCTTGCTGCGCCATTCCCCCTCACCTGGGAATGCGAGCGCCTTTTTCCTCCTCCAGTACAGTTCCCCAGATGGCGAACCCTGGTGGAGTATCCTCCAGCACCCCCGGCAATCAGACTGGGCAGAGCAGTCTGACGCCAGGCCCAGTATTGGTGTTAGCTTACCTGGGTCTCCGGTCAGCCCCTGTACTGGGCTAGGTGTCCATATGGCTTGATTCCCTTCAGGCGATCCCATATGTGTATTTTCCAATGTAAGTTTTCCCTCTCGGTGAACCTGTGTCTTCCCTTTGACAGACCATTCTGTCAGTCTCTGCTGGCAGTCATTCTATCCCTACTCTTAGGTAGGACCTTCCTCAGAGACCCATTCCATATGTAGTACTGCCCCAGGCCTGGGTCAGTCCATATCAGTGTCTCCACATGTCACCTCCTAACCCTAACCCAAAACCTAACCCTAACATACTGCAATTTTCAAGGTCAAATCTAACACCCCAGTTGAAAATATGAATTATTCTCTTCTATCCTTCTGAAATAACCGGATTTGAAATCGGGAGAATCGTGACGTCATGATTTCTCCTCGACACTACCTTAACGTGTTATCATCACATAAAAATCAAGAAGGCGTGACCAACTCATGTCTGTCCATCAACCAAGGGTCTGCTGTAGGATCAAGTAAGACCGTCAAACTCGACGCATGTAAAGAAACTTTTCAGAACCTTCCTACAGATCTGATCACTGGAAATTTTTAATGACGTGCCTGAGCGAATGAAAGACAAAGTTTTTGTTTGTTCTTCACAACGGGAGAACTTGTCCCTGGCAACCAGCGATGGTTCCAGGTTGTAGCATGGAGACATCCGTCTCCGCTCC